CACAAGATGATAATGCATTTGAATTGTGTACACATATTGATCGTATACAATTACCTAAAATTGGTTATCTTGGTGTAACAGCTGCAACAGGAGGTCTTGCTGATGATCATGATGTTTTGGAATTTTTAACACATACATATTCTGATAGACAAATCTTAGCACAAAATCAAGTAACAACTGATGAACAAGCTAGAAAATATAAAGAAGAATATGAAAAATATGAACAAGAACTTCAACAACAAAAAGCCGAGTTTGTATTTACTTTATTTTTTCGAATGACTTTATCAATTTTTTTTTTATTTATTTATTTAGTTATCGAAAAGATCATCCAGATGCAACAACACCACTTAATGAACAACAAATAGTTTGTATTTAAATAGATAGACTTATGAAAATAATTATTTTCTTTTATTTTAGTATGAAACAGAATATGATCGTGAATTTCGTATTATCTTAGAAGGTCAAGATCAAATTCGTCTAGCATTAACAAGTATTGATAGAAAAATGGCTGAACTCTTGGGACGTGTTGAACGATTTGGATCAGTTGGTGGTGGACAAGCTCAAGTAAAACATATTAATATGTTATTATTTCTATAAATTTATTTTCTAGGGTACACCTAGTATTGGTTCAAATGTACCAGCTGATGTAGCTCGAGTTCAAGATATAAATCGTGTTATTAATGCAAATACTGATATGACACGAACTGTTCAAAGTTTTGGGTAAGTTATACAAAAAATGAAAAAGAAGTTTAGTTTTTTCTTGAATTAAATCTGTTGATTGATTATAAATAGACAAGTATTAACTGATCTTCAACAAAAAGTTAATTATCTTCAAACGAATCTCAATAATCAACGACCAGTTAATACAGGAAATCAAGCAGTTAATTCGAATGTAGATTCAAAAACATTAAATGAACTTCGAGATACAATTCGACAAATTAAATCTGAAACAAATACACTTTTACAGAAATCAGTATTATAGAATGAATTTATTTTTTTCTGTTCTTCGAAAGATAAAAATTTGATTTGTTTTAGTCAAATCAAGTTCAATGTCCAAATGTTGCTCATTTAGGCGATTCTTCATGCTTAGGACCATATACATTCTTTGCTATAATCGCTTTACAAATTATTATATTTATTGGATATTTTACATACAGGTAAATTGATAAAAACTTTTTTTTATAATATATTTGTTGTTTGTTTATTGTTAGAAAACAACAAGATCATCTCTCGCGAAAGTATTTATAAATTATTAGTGAATTTTTCTTTGTCTTCATTTATTTAAAAAAACAACAAAAGACATGTCTGATGTGCAATTAGTTAAAACGATGAAAAAAAAAAATCAAAATTTATACCATCGAAATGACTTTTTTTTTCTCTTCTTTTCTGATTATTATAGTTCTGTTTTTGTTTTTGTCTTTATATTTGTTATTTTTCATTTCATGTAAATCAAAAACAAACAAAAAAAAAAAGATTTTGTGTATTTCATAAAACAAACATGAGAAAAAATATATTACTCCAATAGAAACTTCCTGATTAAATCTTCGATCTGAAAGTTAGTTTATTTTTTCTCATGTTTATGTGTGAAGAATCTCTTATTTAAACTACTGTTATCTTTTTATTCTGAATGTTGTTGTTTTGTCTTGTTTAGTTGTTTATTTTTCTTTCAACTTTCTTTGATTTTACTGTCACAAAAAACTATTTTATCGCATCTTCATATGTATGATTTTATGTTTCATCTTGTTTATTTGATTGAAATATATAACTTATGAGAAAATAAAGAAAATCGATATTTCTTCAATATATTATTGAATATTTCCGAATGAATGAAAGTTGTTTCACTTTTGTATTTGAAAGGAGAATTTTTTGAGAAATATTGAAAAACAAAATGATTAACTGTTAAATGTTGAACATTCTAGAAGTTCATCCGATAAAGTAATTTGATTCGAGTTCCTTATCAAATAAATTAAATCACGACGGTCTTTGTCTTCATATTATACTTATCAAAACTCCGAATGAAACAAAATAGATCAATATCTCGTTCCATACGACTCATTCTGTTTTCTCGAAAAAAAAACATCGTTTCTTTTCGAATAAAATTAAAATTTTAAAATTTTTTATAAGAATGATGCATAAAAAAAATTTTAAAATTTTCTTCTTATTGATTTTATTCTTCTATAGAAACAATCCAATGGATTACTTTTTTGATGCATTTTTTCATACAACGTTTTTAATCTTTTCCAAAAATTCAAACATTGAAAACCAAAACTGATTTTTATATGATCTAATTTAGTTGAAATCTTTTTTTGTCACTTTTGTTATAAAGCAAACCAATGTATGGATTTCATCAGAATAAGTTAGAATCTTTATTTGGTTCATAGAAATTTGAGAAATCAAATAGAATTGATTAGATACGAAAGATTCATTAATGAAAAATGATCTGAAGAAAAATTCTAATGATCACCGCTTGTTATTGTTTCACCTTTCACTTGTCATTGATTCCACTCTTTCCTATACTAGACTATGAAAGGATGGCGTTATCATTTTCTAGTGCTTCGTGAAATAGAATCTAAATCAGCAAAGACAAAACACGGATTCAAGAACTGATTAGACTTCAATAGGTGCTGTTAGATCTAAGTGGATTTCGCTGAATTTCAAATGGAATTCATTGGAAATATCGAAGAAACTAATTTGGGAGGAAGAAGAGACAGAAAAACTAATGTGATTCACTACGAGACTTTTGTAGATTAATTCAAGACTACAAAAGCGTTTTATTAAGTTAAATGTTTCACGAAGTCTCATTGGATAGATAGACAAATTGTTTTTGGATAATACCTAGGATGATTTTTCGCTCGAACCCATCCTGGTCGAAGTCTTAATACGTATTATCATAAAACTTTTTATTTATACTACGGACAAGTTTTGAGAAATCCTGTTCTAAATTCTCCAATTTGACATAAACACTCCAATTTGTTACTTTTTAGCCTCTAAACATCATAATGGAACATTTCTTTCTTAGTTGCTTCAATTCTTTTGTCTTGTCAACAAAAACGAATAAATTAAATTATCGAAAATTAGGAAAAGCATGAATACTATTCATACAATGCAGAGATATTCATTGCGATTGAAAACCTATCACTATTGGGATGATATTCAACGAATATTTGGGAATATCAATGCATTGAACTATAACTGCTTGTACAGATTTGTGAGATTCATCTAATCTCAAGACGTCATATTTGTAGACAAGAAAAACCCTGTGAAATTTTCTGTTTTTTTTTACGACACTTCAAAAAGTTTTACCTAAGATTTACATATAGTTGAATCAATACGTGCCTTACATCAAATGTGTATTTATAATGCTGCTGTACTTGTTCGATTTAATCTGAACGATTGATCACAATTGAACAAAGAGACTATGTAGAGAATTAATGTAATTTGAATGACGAGTATTTCATGTTTTTTAAAGCATGGAGTTTGTTGGTAATTGTATTCTTGTCGTTTGTTTAGATTCTTTCGAGTGAATAAATTTAGGTAATTGATTAAGAACAATATCATTGTCAAGAAAATTTTTTGAATTCATTTGTTTATTGCTTTTATGTTGATAAAATGATTTATATTTTACAGGTATTCGATTTGGTTGCATATAAAATAAGATCATCCAAATGCAGGAAATTAATAAAATTAGTATAAATGTAACGATAAATAATATAAATGGAACTATGAGAAATCTAAATGATATCATTTATACATAAATTTTTGTCAAGAAAAATGCGCAACTATTCTTTATGATAAAATAATAATATGAAAAATTTTATAGAACGATAAACTAAATCTTTTCTTCTTTTGAAGAGAAATTTCATATTCGACACTTTTTGAGAGGCATTAAATATTTTATTCACTGATCAATGATATTAATATAAATGACAAACAACAAAGAAAACATCATCAGACTGCTGGAATGATTTCTTTTTGTGTTATCTGACTTGCATAACATGTTTACAGGTTTTTTTTCTCATCATCATTTCTTTGCATTTTACTTTCATCCTGATAAAAAATAAAAGATAGGCGTTTTATATAATTGACAAAGACCGCAACGAAAGATATCAGTCGTTGTTGAAACATTTATATTTCGAAAGAGACTTTAGTGACTAGAAAAAAAAAACCAATGTTCTCAAAATTTATTCTATCATCGTATGTTCTCTCGTTTATTCTTTTGACATATGTCAATGCTGATCTTCGGAGCACGTTAGTACAAACTTTATCTAAGGATTCTTTTTTATATGATTCATTTGAATAGTGTCTATGAATTGGTAGAAGCTCGAAGTGGCGTTAAATCAAATTGCACTTTATGGACATCATACTTTGCAACTAATGGTATTGTTCGTTCACCTGTTGGATCAACGCCTCTTGTTGGTTATGATGCTATTCTAAAACATTGTAATTCATGGAATCAAAATCTTGGTCCTCAAGGAAATGGATGGTATCCTATGGAATTATGGTCAGGCAATAATGAAGTATGCTTATCTCTTGTTGATATAGAGTTAATTTAAAATCTGATTTTTCTTATTTTTTTGCAAGGTTGCTTTTGAAGCTACAATAAGAGCAGTAAATAAAGGTGGTTGTCAAGTTAATTTACGAGGTATTATTGTGATCAAATTTGATACAAATGTAAGTAATATTAAGAGTGAATTTTACGATTTTCTTATTAATCGTCACATCATTTTTTTTCTTCTCTTTTTTGTCTTAGTTAAAAATTACTGAATGGAATCATTATTACGATGCGGATTTTATTACACCACAAATTCAGGGTAAATGTCAATATCAATAGATTACAAAAACAATACTAATGATCAACAGCTATTAGAAGAAAGAAAAATACGAACAAGAAATTTTGCTTTAAAAAGAAAAAAAATATATTCTTTATCTTTTTTTCTTTTCATTTGATATACCATTATTTTTTTTTTATTACATTAACCCAAAATATAGATCAAAGTTTTTCAAAACTCAATATTATCATTGTCTTCTACTTTTTGTTTACGATCTAACTTTTGAAACAATTGTAATCGGCATATAAGTGAATTATATATATTGTCATCTTCATCATTGTCACCATTAAGAAGTTGATCTTGAGGATTGACATCAGTAGCTATTGTAGGAGGATAAGGTTCTAAATTTAAATATATTTATATATACATATATATTCTTTTTATTTTAAAAAGAATCAAACCAATTGTAGGAGTTAATACTGGTGCATGAGATGTATATCGACGACCATGCAATCGCCAACTATTAAATGTCCATCGTTTGTCACGCATTGACATTGATTTTATAGGAATTATAAGCATTGTAATCAGTGTCGCTAAAGTAATCATGTTAATTATTATTGAAGAATTCATCTGAAAATCGGAGTATGTGTGGTATCTAAAAGGAAGAAATAAATTTTATTTCCATCACAACTACATATATATATAGAGAGAGAGAGAGAGAGAAAGTAACTGAATAAATGTATTTAGTTAAATTATATGGAAAAAAAAACAGCATGAAGTAAGTTTTATTTTTTGGTTTGTGATTGACATTCATCTTTACTCAATGAATTAATGCTTTTGCACGCATGCACATAATTTTATAAATAGGAAATACAAATAAATAGGTAGGTTAAAATTAACACGCATGAATATAATTTATTCAAAAAAATGACTGAATATATGTTAATCAACAGCAAAACTTTGAAAACCTTGATTATTACTTTTGATTTCCTGTCAGTGCGATAAGAAAAAAAAGAAAAAAAGATGAGAAAGTTTGTTCTAACTATCATTGATTGATAAGCTTGTGAAAAATTGATATCTTTTTTTGCTATAATTTGAGATGATAATCACCTGTATCTTCTTCCTTTCACTTCTTTCTAGTAACTTTCTTTATCAAATCTAATAATCATTTAAGCGTAGGTATTAATTGTATAAAAAATAATTGAGGACTTATATTAAATTTACAAAAAAAAAAAGATTTATGTTTGCTATTATAAATGTAATACAAATTCATTTATACATTAGCGCCATCTTACGTTTGTTCTATTCATAGAAAAAAGACAATCAAGACATTTTGTAGAGATTAGGAAAAAAAAGAGAGGTTCGAGCGAGGTTTGAACTCGCGACCTTCTGCGTGTAAAGCAGACGTGATAACCGCTACACCATCGAACCGACAGTACTAGTAATACAGAATGAGAAAGAGATGATAGTTAGAGTTTTATTATGTCGAAAAGACAATAAAATAAGTTCAGATAAAAGAAATCAAAATATTGATATGATTAATCAGACATTGATTTCTTCAAAAAAATATAGGTATATATTGAGTTGTAAAATAAATAGTTCTTGAAAATTTAGTATATCTTTTATTATTATTGTTATTATCCTTGTAACAAGATGTGTTTCATTGAAACAAAATATCAATTATTGTTTTTTGATATATGTAACTTAGGATTTCTTATTAGTAATGAGAAGCAACAGATTTTCAACGATTGTTCCTATCAAAAAATTTTATATCAATGATGATGATGATCAACTAATGACTATGTATGAAATTAAATGTAAAGATCATTCAAAATAGTATATTTACATTGTGACATATACTTAGATTAGTCAAATTATTGAACAAGTCATTATAGTTAATAATAGTGTCAACAAACGATCTCAAACGTTAATTGTCAGCAGAAAGTTTATAATCAAAAATATCTTTATTCTTTTTATCTCAAAATCATATGTCAATCTTTTACTCTTTGCAAAAATATACGATAAAAACGATCAATTAATGTATTGTTGTTTGAAACAAGGGCATATCACAAATAAGAGCAATTAATGTAAATGCTAATTAACAAATTTGATATATAGATTTCAAGGTGTCCTCTTATTCATGTCACCGAAAAAAAATAATATTTTTCCAATTAGTCAGCAAAGTAAAGCATATTTAAGTAGTCCTATTATGCTAATCAATGCATTTATTACATGATATTATTATTAGTCCATACTATTGACATATGTAACAACAAATTTTTGTTCTCGGTTCATTTAAATACATATACATACACACATACTAGTACAATAGGTTGCTTGAAGCATAAAAGAATTGCATTTATGACTTCTTTATTAGTGATTCTGTAATCTTTGATACATGTCCTTGGACATTGGCGATGGTTATTGTTATTGTTAGAACAAAAAAAAAAAAAGTGAAGCTTTGCTATATTACGGTATGCGTAATAATAGTTCACAGATGACTGCTGTTCTTCTATTCACTCTATAGTAATTTTTCTACGACTTATATACAAGGTCTTGTGTTCTACACAGACAATAGCCATTAATGTACAGTGTCACAGCTGAGGATACATCATTAGACATTTAGTATCGGTGAACGATAAATAAACGAACCTTTAAAGGAGGAGAACAAAAAAAAAACTGAATAGTTTTGTTGAAGTTATTTGAAGAAAAGTCGATTAGTAATGCTAGACGAAAAAAAAAAAGTTTTGGTAAAGAAAACAACAATGAGAGTGCCTTCTTCAATTGTATAAAAAAATGTATGTTTTCAAACAATTGATGAAACACTTGAAATATAATGGAATAACCAAAAAAAAAATGAAGGTTGCCGGTAACACATTTGAGAGTGGTATAATTTCTCTTTGTCGTAACAAACGAGAGAAAAAGCAAAGAGCAAGTAATAATACGAACGCAAAAAAAGAGAGGGAGAGAGAGAGAGAGAGTAAAGCAACAAACGTACAGTGTATTATATAGTACACATTCTCCATAGAGTAAAATAGGAGAAAAGAGTGGAATCCATTGCTTGCTTTCTTCTTCGTGCGCAGTCTCTCTCTCTCTCTCCCTTTCTTTATGTCTTTAATCTTTTTCAATTTTTCATCGACAGCACTTCGGACTCGGATCACTTACAGCACCACTAACATTTTTTTTTATCTCTTCTATCGTCTACTCTAAGTTCACTTCTTCATTCAATAGAGCACATATTCAACTGAAAGTAATGTTGAAGTGGGCGGTAACGCCACGTTTTAACAGTGATTATTTTGAAAATGAAGGTATCCATAATAATCATGGTTGTGAATTGCTTACATTACAAGCAATTATTGATCAACATCGTCTACCATGTCTTGTTCGACTTATGAATGATGATATCAATGAATCAACTGATAATTATTGTCTATTACTTTGTCAAACAAATGATCCATATTTACTTGTTTCAAATGAAACTGAACGTTTTTCTATTCCAATGTCATTTGATGGTAAGTCTTTAAGAAAGAAAAAAGAAAAAGAAAAACATCAGATACAATTTCTTATTACAATTCAAAAAATCTAGATTTTTTCTTTCATGTTTGCACGTTTGTTGGCTGCATGTGTTTCTTAAACTTGACACTTTTTTTTCTTTTACATGAATTCAGAATAATTTGATACTTAGTTAATAGACAAAGAAAAAGAAAAATGGAAAGATGATTCTTAGTCATACATTTCGATCAATCTAGACATATTTTTTTAATCATTCGATCGATGAATCATTATTGATTCAAGATATTTTACTAAGCATAATCATATTTTGATGTCTTTGTTTTTATTTTTTACAGATATGTAAGTTTCTGTCAGAAAAATATGCGTAAAGTATGAGATAGCCAATAGAAAAGTTATGTGGTACATGAAACAATGTAATCTCTAATAAATATTCAAAACAAAAAAAAAAGGATTAAATCATAGGTACAAGATGAACTAGTTTCAAGACAAGATGATGAAATAAAAAAAAAAGAAAATAAATAATAATCAAATATAAAAGTTCATATCATAAATCTCATATAAAAAAAAAACGATATTTTATTAGTTTTGTCTTGTATCCTATTTATTATTTCTTTATGTTAATATAGGTCTTTTTGCTCCAGTCGAAAAAGGTATTACTCGATATAATATTCTTGAATCAGTACGTGCTTTACGATCTCATCTAAAATCTCATCCGTCTTCATCATCAGGATTTTCATATTTTACTGTTTTACAACCATGTATGGCATATAGTAATTCAGCTTTACGTCGTATACGTCCTGGTACTATTCTTGAACCGTGTCGTACATCAATAATATCTAGATCTCCATCACCATCAATGTCATCATCATCATCATCATCATCAAATCGTTTACGTACACTTTTTGCTAATCTTCCACATTCACTTAATAAACATTTTTTACTTCAACATCAACAATCACGTACATTGAAAAATCAAATACCACCAAGTGATTATCTTAAAGTTAAATCAATTCAACATGATGAATCTTTTTGTTTAAAATCTGATTCAATTGGTGTATTTGTTCCTATACATACAGAATTACCATCAAATAATTCTCACCGTCGAGCATCACTTATACCTCATTCATCCCCATTTTCATCAGCATCATCATCATCATCATCATCGTCATCATCTTCAAATCAAATTCAAGGTTTATATTCAGTTGACTTATTAAGTAAATTGTCTCATCAATATCCACTTATAACAGAACTTGTTATAAGTCGAACATTAGAAGAAAATGTACCAACAAATGTTGGATATCCATTTCGTCGATTAACATTTCATCGTCTTATTGAACAACATACACGTATTATTGCATTTGATATGAAAAATTATGCTTTTCTTGAACTTGATACAATCCATCCAATGGATCTTTATGTATTTGAACCTGAAGATGCACTTTTTCAACGTTATCAAGCACAATTACGTTGGTGTGATTCACATCTATCTTCATTTCGTTCACAAATAAAAACAATTGTACATTCATCACAAGGTACACCAACATTTGTTCAAGCTACACCTCTACATGGTCAACAACTTCAACAATATCATCAACGTCGTGATTCATCATCATCACTTGTTTCATCACTTATTAAACATATACCACAAACAATATTTACATCACAAGAATCAGTTTCATCAATTCGTTCACGTACTCGTACTCCACCATCATCAAAATTTAATACAACATCAATTCATTTAAAACAAGAACAACAACAACAACAACAACAACAAAAAGGTAAAACAACTGGATCTAGTGGAACACCAAGAAAAGATGTACGAGTTTATTTTAATGATCCAACTATTCAAAAACGTCTACAAATTACATCATTAACACCAACAATACAACCAATAATTAAACAAACATCATTTAATAATAAACATTCTAATTATCATACAAATAGCACTGAAAGTGATAGTATTGATGGTGATGAAGAAAATGAAGATTCATATCAATGTACACCACTATAAACTATTTAAAAAGTATTGCACATGTACTAAGTACACGATTTATTGTTTTGTTTTTATTTGTTGCCATATTGAAAAATACAAA